CCCAGCTCTGCGCGCCCAGCGCGGGCGGCGCGGCGGGGGCAGGGCCGCCCTCGGCCTCCCCGGCAGGACGCGGGCCTGCAGTTGTTGGTGGCTTTTAGAGAGGAGCCGGCTCGGGCGAAGTGTGAGGAGGTGACATTTTGCATAATACACCGTAAATCCCACGTCCGGCGCGGTGACCAGCTCGCCGTGAAATGAAGACTCCGAGGACAAAACGTGCCTCCCCCCACAGCTGTCTCCATAAAACCTGTTTGTTCTCGGTGCCTCCTTCCTAATGCCGTCCTTCCTTGCGCTAAAACTAAATCTTTTGAAGTTCAGGGGTTTCTCTGCTCACGAGGGGAAGCCGAAACTCCGTGAACTTTGGAGCAGACTGCGTGGCTGGCACGGGAGAGAGCAGCGCTCTCAGGTTCTTGTCAAGCAAGGAAATCGTAGTAACACATAGCTTGCCATGTTCGCCGTGGGAGATTAAAGATATTAAGCAGCACTAAGTTGGCTTGAGAACAATGCTGCGATGTCTGCTAAGGCAGTGTGTGACTGTGTGCGTATGTGTGACATGTATGTGTCCATATGTAACACACAAATACAGGGCGAAGAAGGGATAAGGAGAAAGAACAGGGATTCTTCCAGGAGCTGACAATAAAGCTGCTGTGGCACTTTAATTCGATGGTGACATCTCCCACTAGGATTTCTGAGACCAAAATTCCCTCTAAACCTCAGAAGTGTAAGACACTGTGTTGCTGCATCCACTAATGACTGAAACAGTAATGGCGTGCAACAGCCATCCGGCTGGAGTTAAATTCCTTTCTGTGGAAGAGGTCGAAAGACTTGAGATACAAGTAGCAAGTACTCTACTTGGGTGATGCAAGGCAGAGCGACATCCTTGTTTCTCAACTCCCCTCCCTCCCACACATGCACTTGGAGTCTTTCTCATCCCACTCCCCCGTCTGCCCTCCTGTAAATTTTTAAAATTTCTTCTTTTTTTTTTTTAACAGCTTCCAGTGTAACTCTTCCCTTCTCCCCCTTCTCCCTCTTCTCCCTCCTTTTGCTGAATGGGTTCTCTGGGTGCTCATGGGACATGCACACTTCATGGTAAAAGGGTTCATACCACACTAAAGGCAGGAGCTGGTCCACAGATTCAGGCAGGCAATTGCTGGGCTTTAACACATCAGCCTGTTACACACATGTTCCTCTACTGGTAAACATGCATGTGTGGGGATGAAGGGGAGGAGGAGGTGAGTGGTAAAGTCTAGATGTAGAGTTCATACATTTTGTATTACTTGTGACATTTCTTCTCCCTTTACTGTTCCTTTCTGAAGAATATCAGAAGACACTGAATTACGTTACTGTAGAACATTCACTGTGTACAAGCTGCAGCACGAAGCAAGTTCTGAATGTTTTCCCCTCTCTCTGTCACTCTGGGGAAGGACTATCCCATCCTGAAAGGATGAGTCCCTGACTATTTAGTTTTTAAAAAAAAACAACCAACCAAGCTCAAATACAACGATACATTTTCCAATAGGTAGAAGCATACAATTAAAAACAAAACAATGAAAGACTTGGGTTCCAAGAGGGCATTTACAGATTTGTTCATTTTAGTCCCAGTCACGCCCATGAATAGTATTAATTGCTTTGAGCTTTTCATGCAAAACAATCGTCATTCACCACAATAAAATCTGGTTTGGGATTTATGGGAATAGGAAATTAAAATCTGTGTGTGGATAGATATTTTAAAATAAGATGCACTTAGGGGAAACTTTCGTCTACTTTAGAGAGCTATGCCAGCAACTCTTATTTCTATTTTTTTATACAGAAAAAAATAACCCATCTTTTACTCAAAAAATCTTTCAGAATGAGAAATTAATTTAAGCTTTTTTTTTTTTTTTTTACTTTGATTCTGTGTAGGAGAGAAAGGGGAGGGGAAAAGGTGGTAAATCCTTAGTGAAGCCGTTTAAGTTCCGTATGTCCGTTTGTCCTGTTTTCCGGGGGGAAAAGAGGGGCGGGTGTGGAAGCAAGGGTTTTCCATTTCATTGCAGGAAAAGGGCCCAAGGCTGTGAAGGTTTGGTCCTTCTTAAAGTTGTTGGAGGATTTTCGAGATTTTATTGATGAAGTGACACATTTCATTGCCAAAATAATTGTAAGAATTTACTTTTGAGCTGGGAAATGGGAACAAAGTTTATAGAAAAGGGAGTGAGAGGGGTTGAGAAAGTTTCTCTTTTTGAACCAGGGGACTAAAGGGATGGATCACAGTGGGAATAGTGGAGGGCTATTCCTGCTGGGTGTTTGGTCTAAATAATGTTTTTCTTGCATAGTGCTGGTTTGGAGGACTTTGTTTTGTCTGTGTTTAAGGCTGTGATGCTGGTTTTTGGTGTCTCACTCTTTGTTGTGGTACACAAAACAGCATTTCTTCCCCCCCGGCAGCGTCCTCCTGTTTTCTATAATAAACAGTACGAGGGGTTTCAACACTGTTGAGTATAAATAAAACGGGTGACTCAATGTGCATAATTATTTCGAGAAAAGCCAATCTCAGGCTTTTTTCACACCCTGCCTCAGGTTTGCATCTTGAAATGAAAGGGCAAAACTCAACTAGTAACTTCTAAATTAAAGGACAGATTTAAAATAAGAAAGTGAATGAAGGCATCATAAAAGATCTTGAAGGTGTCTTAAAACCCACTAGCACCCCAAGTAATTGTTTCTTCTGTGCTCTCTACTTTCCTCAGTCTCAGAAGTTAGTAAACTGATCTTCAACTTGTAATTCGTACTTTTTCCTACTTTTAAAAGCAAAATAATCTGTGGAACCGCACGCACATCCTACCACCTCACTTCTGTCAGCTGGAATGACAAGGCAAATTAGACACTATGTTTTAATCCAGACGGTGCGTATGATCATTTTAATGTGCAAGGAATCTAAGACTAAACAATCTTGTTTAAAAAAAAAAAAAGAAAAAGGGGGGGCGAAGGGGGAAGAAGCCCGTACAACGCGACCAGGAGTTTTGAGTTTGCACACAATAAAAAGGAGGTTTAAAAAAAAAAATAGGGGGGGAGGGCTAGACAGCAGGCTGCGCTGATTAATAGTGATGAGCCCAGAAGCCCAGGGAGGATCATTTCCCGTGGCACAGCCGCCCCGCAGAGACGGGGAGGGAGCGGGAGTGCGAACACGCGTGTCTGTGCGTGTGTGCACGCGTGGGTGTGCGGGGGCAGGTGGGCGCCAGCCCCGCGGAGAGCCCGCGTCCCCTGCCCGGAGCGGCGGGAGCGGCCGGGCAGCGCCGAGTTGCGCCGCGGCCCCCGCAGCCGCACGCACAAGTTGCGGTGCGGCCCGGGCGGGGAAGGGTTCGCATCCTCTCCCGCTGCAGAACAAAAGCAGCGGTGCGTGTGCTGGAGCCCCGCTCGGCAGGCGCCTGGCCCCCCGCACGACTTGCCCCTTCCCCGCTCGCAAAGTTTTTGTCCTCGGAGTGCCTGGTTGTTCTACCTGCCTTTGTGCTGCGGCCGCCACCGTGCAGCGCCGGGAAGGGGAAGGTCTTAAAAGCAGCGGGGCTTGTTCTCTGTGGCTGCGCTGCCTGCCCGTGCCGGGTGCGCTGCCCCGGCCGCGGGCACGGCTGCTCCGCGTCCTGCCGGGGCACAGGCGCGCCGGGAGCGTGAGGAGGGAGGCTGAGCCCCGCGGGGAGCCGGGACCTCCCTCGGGCTGGCCCTGCAGCTACCGAGAGCCCCGGCTGGGCGAAGCCTGAGGCCGGTGAGGGGGTGAGCACAGCTCCCCACAGCTCTCACCCTCCGCTCCCCTCCCCAGAAGTTGGGGTGTAAGAGCGGGAGGAGGCTGGTGCAGCGCGGGCACGTCTCGCCCGGCGCCCGAGGGACACGGTCTGCCTCGGAAGCTGCAACTCCGTTACCAATTTTTGTACATCTTGTAGCGCTCCTGTGCCGGAGTCAGCGCGGAGCGGGATAATAGGAGATTTTTTGTATCTGCGGACAAGACGTAGGCATTTTTTGTTGCGGCAGAGCGGCGAGTTAAAGGAAGGATTACCGAGAGCTACAGTCACTTTTACCTGTTTTATGCATGGATATGTTTACGCTTACGTGTCTTTTTATACATAACATTGGTGAAAGTTTGAAGCTCCCCATGCTGTAAAGAATGAAGAATATCAAAAGGAGCAAAGCGGTTTTAGTTCTCCTCGCTCTATGTGCAAGCAATTTAAAATTACACACATATACGAGCTGAGCTTGTTGCTAACTGCAACAATGAAAAGTGCACTGTTTGCCTACTTCTGCAGCTTTTGCATGGTGTCAAGTACACCTTTTAGGTTGTCACATCCACACATAGTAACAGTCCTGGCATTTGCTGTTTCATGTGTTTCTTTTTTACGTTTTCCAGTTAGCAGAACCTTCCCCAGTCTCTCCTCTCTTGCCCTTGTGAAGATAGTTACTTTAAAAAAAGATCTTTGTATTTGAGCTAGATCATAACTTTGTCTTAGGCATTATCTCCTAGTGCTTAATCGAGTTTTAAGAATATCTTTATCTTCCTCTTAAAAAAAAATTGCCATCCATTTTCACCTGTTAGAGGTCAGTAGGACTTGATATTCAGTTTTACAGTTTTACTCCTTCTGTGCAAGGTTGTTTTGATGTGTTGCAAGTAATTTATATAAAGAAAAATATTTTAATGCTGACATTAGCTACATCAAAAGGCAAATTTGCTGTAGTGACTCCATCAATTAAAAAGTACTTGCCTACAGTAACATGACCTTGCAAATGACATCGATGGTTAATATGATCATTAGTCATTAACAGTATTATTATATTCAAAAATATAAATTTGTTGCCAGAATCCACATATTCACTGCTCTGCATGTTTCATTCTTCTGTGTTTTCAAATCTTGTATGAAGTGGTCAGTTAATTTTCATGCTTTAATCATTTACAGATTTATTTTCAGCTTCTTTAGTTTGGTCAAGTGGATCTAGGGAAGATATAAGGGCTTTTGTTTTGTTTTGTGTTTGGGTTTTACTTTTTACAGCTTTTTGTTGTTTCTTTTAGTTTAGAAAATTTGTAGTTCTAGAACAACAGAATGGCCACTATGGAAGTCTGATGAAAGTAATCTTTGGAGTCTACTCGTTATTCAAATATACAGATAATCAGAACAAATCTTGTACTTATTTCACAAATTTGAATATAAGGTTTCTCATACAATGAAAACTGGGTAAGGAGTAAATCTCGTTAAAACATTTTTGTTTTCTTCTAGATTTGTCGGCATCAATGCATCTGATATAAACTACTCAGCTGGTCGATATGACGCCTCAGTTAAACCCCCCTTTGACATAGGCTTTGAAGGTGTGGGTGAAGTGGTAGCGTTAGGACTCAGCGCTAGTGCAGATTACACGGTGGGTCAAGCTGTGGCCTACGTGAAAGCAGGTTCCTTTGCTGAATACACAGTTGTGCCGGCCAGACAAGCAGTCCCTCTACCCTCAGTGAAACCCGAGTTTCTCACTTTAATGGTAAGTGGTGCGACTGCATACCTCAGTTTGAAAGAACTGGGAGACCTGTCTGAAGGCGAGAAGGTTCTGGTGACAGCAGCAGCTGGAGGAACAGGCCAGTTCGCTGTGCAGCTTGCAAAGAAGGCAAAATGCCATGTAATTGGAACCTGCTCCAGTGATGAAAAGGGTGGCTTTCTGAAATCCATTGGCTGTGACCGTACCATCAACTATAAAACTGAAAATGTCGAATCTGTGCTTAGGCAGGACTACCCCGAAGGTGTGGATGTGGTGTATGAATCTGTTGGAGGAAAGATGTTTGACTTGGCTCTCAATGCCTTGGCTATCAAAGGGCGCTTGATAGTTATTGGGTTTATCACTGGCTACCAAAACCCCACTGGCCTCCAGCCCATTAAAGCAGAGTTTTTGCCAGCAAAACTATTGAAGAAGTCTGCTAGCGTCCGGGGTTTCTTCTTGAACCATTACTTTTCTGACTACAAAATGGCTCTGCAGCATTTGCTCAAGATGTATGAAAAAGGAGACCTGGTTTGTGAGGTGGACTTTGGAGACATGTCTCCTGAGGGCAAGTTCACTGGCTTGGAATCTGTATTCCGTGCTGTAGATTACATGTACATGGGAAAAAACATTGGAAAAATTGTAGTTGAATTACCTCACTCTGTCAACAGTAAGCTGTAAAAACAGAACAATGATATAAATCAGAAGAGAGAAAATGGGCACTTTATGCCTCAGATTTACTAGAAACAATTTATTTTTTTAAGTTTAATAATGGATATTATATTAAAAAGCAGCATTAAAGTGTTAATAAAAAGGATGGGTTTGTTGGGATTTTTTTCGTTTGTTTAGTTTTATTTTCTTTAAAGTGTTTAAATCGGTGGCTATAGCAGGGACATAATGGGCCTGTGTTTGATATTGTCACTTAGGTTAGCATGAGACAAGAACATTGTTCTTGACAGAATAAGTCTTGATGCAGAGGCAGATTTAGTCTGTCAGCCTGATTTGATAAGACTTCATCTGTAGTTCAGCTCAGAAAAAAAAATCTTTCAGCAATTTTGATTCCCTGATTTAAAAATAAAATTGTTAGAACAAGAATAAGTAAAGAGTTGTATCTTTGGGTTGCTCTATTAATATTTTGAAGTTTCTGGGAAAAAAATGCTCTTGATTTTCTGTCACAAACATGATAATCATAATTCAGTTGGATCATGGATCATCGTAATATTCCTTGACTGATTACACAGGGAAATTTATCCTCCAATTCTGACATGTCAGTAATATTAAGCAACTTGACTTTTTTTTTCCTAATCCTGTCTTTCATAACTATAAACAACTGCGCAATTTTCTTTTAAATCTTTAACTACAAGTTGCAATATAGTCTCATTTTGTTGCCTTTTCATTTTCCGCTGTTGCTGTTTATTGTCCAGTCTCCCCTTTAGTCAGTATTTAAAGATTATTGGAATGGGATTTTGAGACATGTTATTGTATGTTCATGCCCTGTATATTTTTTGAAGATTAAATAAAGTTTTAAAAGCTATTTAAATATGTGTGGCATTTATTCATAATTATATGCTTCTTGATGACTAGCTCTTTTTCAGATATTCTGTTTTTCAGAGTTATTTGACTGATCATTCTTGAAGGGACTTGCCATAATCAGGCCGCTACTTCTACTTTTACCAGATACTGCTTCTGCAGAAGCCCTCTTACAAAGAGCAGGACCATTTTAAATCTATATTCACAATACCTGGTACACATACTGATGCTCAGCCATAGATTTTCTATTGGGTGCAGTTAAAGGGTTTCGTAAAGTTTCAAAAATTCTTCCTCACCTAGTGAATATTATTAATGGTACGTACAGTGGGAATTCCAGCTAGAAGCATAATATTTTCCAGAACAATAAAATACTTGAAACTGCTTGCTCTACATCTTTTTTTCCATAGCAAACTTTTAAGATCATAAAGGCCAATTTTGCCACATCTTTTGAAATTACATTCATTTGTATGCAGTTGAAGAGATGGAAATTTCCTAAGATCATATGCCTCATAATAAACATAATGATAGACTGATGATGGCTAGGACTTGAAGGAAAAAATCCAAGGTAAACTTAATTTTAGGGCATTATTCGGGACTGACTGTGCACAACATTTTTGATTGTAACACAGGAAAACATAGATTGTGTTCAGTAATAACATAAATTTGCATTACTGAATACAATCTTAATGTAAATGTTTAGTATATATGTCATTAGCATCATCAAGAATTGTGTACAATGGAGAACTGTCTCTTTCTTGGGCCGTGCCTGACTACTAGGTTTAGTCTCACTTGGGTGATTTTGGGTAAAGGTGGAATGGATTGAGTCTTTGTGATCATTTTTCTCTCTTACTCAAGGTGAGCATCAAGCCACCTTGATTTTTGTTTTAAGTAAGATCTGCTGATAGAAACATATTTCCTTTTTCATCTCTGATAATAACAATATTGTGTTGTGTTTGTGTTTTGCATAATTAGGAAGGTATATTGGCCTTCCAGCTGGATGCTAGAAGGATGTCAACACTCAAGTACCACACAGAGCATTCAAAGTTCTCAGCATTTTATTCCTAAGCATGTGTGATGTCTTTCCTTGTTCAGGGATAAAGTGAAGTCTTTGGTCATTAAATGCATCTTAAAAAACCAAAGTTGGTTGGGATGTACCGTGGCAAAATTTAAAAAGAAAAAAACCAATTGGTTCCATCTGTGATATGTACAGAAGAGTTGCATGAGTAACACTTTTTTTCAAATTAAATTCCTGCAGTCAAATGCCAAAACCATCCAAGTGGCCCAACTTTCAGATGTGTTGATCACTGTCAGTTCAATAGATTTGGTGTTTCTGAGGCAGTGAATTCCATATGTTTTTGTCATAGAAAATTCCTCCTCTAACAGGATTCTGTTTGGACATACATTCTACTTTGTTTTTAATATGTTACTTCATATATAACATTGCATAATACATCTGCCCCAGGCTTCTTCACTGATCAAAATAGGAGAAGAGAGGGACCTTTGGAGGGTTCACACATATATATTCAGATATGACATGTTGTTCATTTTAATTTTGGCTTCAGATTGTTGTTTAGCACTTTCATATGATCACAGCATTAATAAAAGGTTAACATTGTTATGTGCATAACTTGGATAGCCAATGTACAAATTTCATAGCCCTTTTCAGTGTTTAGGTTAGGCTATGGTCATTGGGCTTGTCTTTTTCATCGAATGTTCATGTTAAGCTGAAGGGGTAGCTCAGGGTCAATGATAACTCTTGATAACAGGGTCATGATAACTCTTCCATGAATGAATATGGAATGAAGAAATAATTTTTGTTTTTAAAGATACAACTTCTATGCTTCAAATTGCTGAAAGAGAGCATTATCAATGGAGAGAGGGTGAAAAGTATTTCTTAAACACTCAGATAAGGGCTTTTTGATGAGTTTTGTAATAAATTTTGGCTTGCAGCTGGGGGAAAAACCCAATTTCTCTTTATTTAAAAGTACATTCTGCAAACTTACAGTTGTGGGAGTAGGGCTGCCTTTGAATTAGTAAGCTATGATGGATTTAAATAATGTTTAAATATTAGATGCCTAGGAAAATGTATATGGCATGCACACACTGAGAGGTTTAAATGATGATAGGACATTGAACATACAAGGAAAAGAAATACTGTAGAGTCACAGCAAGGGATTAATAACAATACACTTAATATGCTTGCAGAAAAGGTGTATTAAAAGCTGTGTGCACAGTGGGGACTTAAATGATTAAAAATAATAATACATTTGCCTTGGAAGTACTAAGTATACTATATGTAGAGAGCAGGGATTTAAATAATAATACTATTAATAATAGCAGCTCATTGAGATGTGGTTGCTAGCACTACATCCTAATTTTACCTTTCTAAATGAATTTGCTACAGAGGAATCTGGCATTGTTTGCTGAGGCTAATAACCGAATTTCCCTTCCCTACACACATATGCTTCCATGGAAAAACAACAAAGAACTAGATGAAGAGCTGGCTTTTTTCCTGAGTCTGTCACATGTGTGCATACGCACGCGCACACGGACACACACGTACTCACTCGCTCTCTCCTGGCTTGCAACCCTCAGCACATTTTACAGATATGCTTCCTACTTAATTGCTATGCTGGATTCTCCTAATACCTTTTTGAATCAAGTTGGGTTTCTACCAAGCAGTAGTTTGCTGAATGTTTGTGTGCGTGCAAATGTGTGTAATGTATATGCACATAAAGTGTGTATTTAGTAAGTGGATATGAAAAACTGCTGTGCCATGTAAATACAGATAATTGCAACCTCTCAAGGAAAAGTTTGCAGTAGTGTTTGTAGATATTATATATATTCCTACTTCTGTCTGAGGAGTAAAGAAATTTCTCTGCTGAATAGCTGTTAGTATCTATTTTACAAGATTTACTCATTTTCAGGTACCTAATGTAGCTGCTAGCATGCATGCACGACAATACAATTTATATGGTAAATGGAACCAAATAATGGCTTCACTGAATGTTATGGCTGCACTGAAGGGAAATGTCACGGTAAATAGCTGCCAAATTATGGATCATGCCGAAGTGTCACAACTGCACTAAAGACAAATAGCACTAGAGGCTATTGCCACTGTGACGCTTTTGAGTTATGAAGAAGAGGAGCAGCCTGATGTGAGCCTCTTTGTGTCCTCATTATAGCAAAGGGTTACTGGTGCAGTGTACAAGAAAACCTAGTCCTACGTGATGGCTAGTTATTAATCTGTTCTTTTCGAATCTAACAGCTGTAGCAAACCAGAAAATCTTTTCCTTGCTTTATGAATACATATAAACACATACAAACAAAGAAAAACCTGCAGGTTTTATGAATGTAAATGTGTACGGGAAATGACTAGTAATGGAAAAATGTTGTAATAAAATAATCTAATCAAAGAATATTATTAAATTTAATATCATATGTGTCTGAAAGGTTTAGTTGCTTCTTATGCAGATAGATGTGTGAAATATAAGCAATAATGCACTTTCTCTCTTTGTAAAGACTTGAGTAGTAAGGACATTACCAACTAAATTGCTTCTTCTAAACTGAAGTGTGTCCCGGTTTCTTTCATTTTAATGGGAGGGTAATAAAGATGAAAGACTAACATTTTAACTGATGGATCCCTTAAGCTACAGAATAGAAATTTATTATGTTTTGAGGGAATATGCTAAATGCTGAAATGTGGAAAGAAGCGGGGAAATCCCAGGTAAAATAAAAGCAATGTAACCTCTTTTTTCATTGTTATTATTATGACATACTTTTATGAATGGAAAACTACATACTGCTCTAACTTAAGCTGAGAAAACAGCACTGATCTTTCTTTTGAGAAAAAAAAATGGGGGGAGTTACTTGGAAAAAAAAAGATTTGGAAATGGAGGGACATTGCTCAGCAAGTGGTCGCTTCTCTCTACGATGACTTTTCAAATCCTGCCTGCAGTGTTCAGGGAAGTGAGTTTGATGCTCTGCACACTATTGTACACACCACAAACGTACTATCCATAACACAGCACAATTGTCAGTTGCCGTTTTACAGAGGGGCCAGGGCTGAACAATCATGGTGGATAAATTACTTTTCTATTCTACAGCAAGTGGCTTTCCTACCATGTGAAGCTTAAGGTCATTGGCAGGGCAGCAAGGGGAAAGCTTATATATTAGTTAAAACTAATGCACTAATAGTGTTCAGATAGAGGAACTAAACCAATTAATTAAAGCTAGGTTTGTTCTTCGAGACGGGGAGGGGGATGACTTGGAGAGTTATTGTACCAAGAGACATGCATGTATATATGTATGTGTATGTGTATGTGTATGTGCATGTGTATGTGTATGTGTATGTATATGTATATGTATATTTTGTCTTCTTATAACACCAATTCTTGCTAAAATATTCCTGTAGATAACTTGGTTTTTTTTCTTTTGTTCTTTAATCTCTGCATTAAAACCTTCATAATTCATGACTGAAGAAATTCAGATTTCAGAAATAAGAAAATATTCTCAGAAGATTTGAAAACTTCAGTAATAGAATCTGCTTACAATTTTTGCAGTGTAGTCTAAGGGGGGAGGGGAAGAAAAGCCTGTCAAAAATTAGGTAGAAGATCCTTGAATGGCAATTAGCGTGCCCAGAATTTATTTTATGTGCAATGCAGTTGCAAGTAGCTGCTTCTTATTAAATGAAAATCCTGTATTATGTACTTCAGGAACATTCCGACTAATGAGTATGTAATGTCCTTAGTGTAACACAGAACTTCTTTTTGTGTTCACAACCACAAAATGCTGGAAACTTGACAAATGATATCATTTAAGACAGATGCCTGCCTTAGGGACCTGTTTTTTGGCTTCCTGTTTCTGGTTTTTATTTCAATAACATTTGTAATTGCCACAGGATCTGTACCTGCGTAGTGTTTTAACTCCTTCACATATGCCCCAATGCATTAACTCCTTGGGTAGGTACCCGGGAATATTTTTTTTTTCTTTTTCCTTTTTCCTGCCCAG